ATATATATTTGGAATGTCTGCTGAAGCACTGGGGTGGATCATATAATATATGGCATGAAGTGGTATGTCATTTTAATAAAAGCGATTTTTCTGTGGAGTCAAGCTCAATTTCCATTATGTAAAACCTGTACTTTGATCTTCCTCTTATGTATGCAACTGCACCCACATCTTCGGACCAGTCTTCAGGTCGGTTTCTTAAATGACAGTTTGTCATGGGCCACTGGTAGAGATCATTTTGAAAATGGGCCTGTCCATCTTAGAGCTGCAGTTTTTGCTCAGGTTATAGGGGTGGGAATGGGTAAGAATTCAAACAGCTTTATCAGTGGCTTCAGATTAGCTATTCTCATAAAGAAAAAACCAACAAACAAATAATATAGTTAAACATTGGCCTTGTTTTTCTGGATCTCCTATAACTTATTTAGTTTTATGTTCGTTTCCTGTGTTCACCCATAACATGTTCCACTACTATATTTGCTATTAAACAAATCTGAACAAAAAAAAAATACTTGCAACCTGAACAGACCTGTTCATTCTCTCTCCAGCACCACAACTCAAAGGCATTGATTCTCTTCTGTTATCCTTAGTCATTGTCCAGCTCTCAGAGGCATAACAAGCAATTGAGAAGCCTGTAGCTTGGATCAGATGCACCTCAGTTTCTAGACTGACATTTTGCTCCTTAGCACTCTGGAGTGGTCTCTGACACCAGACTTGTCCAAAGCAACTCATCTTTTGATTTCCTGACTACTGATGCCAAGAGTGTTGATTGTGGAGCCAAGCAAGATGAGATCATTAACAACCTTAGTCTTTTATCTGTCATATCTATTTTATCTTCATGATACTGCCAACTGGTGAAGTGCTGAGGATCATTATCTTACTAGATCAGATAAGAGGGGGAAATCAAAAAGCAGTGAATTAGGTGAAAACTCTTGTCAAAGAAGATCAAAGACCATAGCCTTCAGTATGGATTACATCACAATATTAAGAAAACAAAAGTTCTTAGCACTAGACCAATATGCAACATCATAATAGATGGAGAGAAGACTGAGATTATCTACAATTTCATTTTTCTCGGACCCACCAGCAGCATGCTGATAACAGCAGTAAAGAAATAAAATGACCCATTTCATCAGGCAAGTCTGCTGTCAGAGACATCTTTAAAGTGCTAAAAAGAAAGGAGAACCATTTTAAAGACAATGTTTTCAATTGCTGCATATGCATCTGAAAGTTGGACAATGATTAAGAATGACAGAAGAACAAACAACAAATGCTAGTGGAATGCCAGGTTGTGGAAAAATTGGAACTCTTATTCACTGCTAGTGGGAGTGTAAAATGGTACCGCCAGTGTGGAAGGTAGTCTGGTGCTTTCTCAAAAAGTTGGAAGTAGACATACCATTTGACCCAGCAATTCCACTACTGGGAATGTACTCTAAAGAAACCAGAGCCATGGCAAACAGATGTATGCACACCCATGTTTATTGCTGCATTATTCACAATAACAAAGAGATTCAAATGCCTAACAATAGATGAAAGGTTAGAAAAACTATGGACATTCACACAATGGAACATCAAGCAGCACTGAAAAACAAAAACTCATAAACCATTACACAACATAAGGGAACATGGAGGACATTTTGTTGAGTGAAATATCTCAGTGACAAAAGGACAACTACTGTACAACACCACTGTTATTAAATAGGACAGATGGAGATAGGGAGGGTAGAGAATGGGGAAAGAGTGGATAGTTAAGGAATACTGCAATTGAAGGGATGAGGGGAAGAACTGTCTGAAAGGAATATGTGATTGGGCATTACATGTATGACAACAATCTGGAACAGGGGGTGTATTGTTAGGTGGGCTGGGGGAGAGGAATGGGGAAGAAAATGTGCAAAAAAATAGGCTTTGAGTTGTACTGGCATGAGTATTGAATATACACACCATGGACTGGCAAAAGAACAAATAAAACTGGGAAGAAGTACAACTGGGTTACTCCTTATGTGGTGAAACTTAATCTCACTTACTTTGGACATATTGCCAGGAGAGATCAGTTGTTGGGAAAAGACATGACAATGGGAAAGGTTTAGAGTCGGTAAAAGAAAGGAAGACTTTAAGAAGATGAATTGATACGCTAACTATAACAATGGGCTTGAGCGTGGGGGAGAGCATGAGCATAGTGCAGATTAGGAGGAAGTTTTGATCTGTTGTTCCATAGTCATAGTCTATGAGGTGTAGTTTATTTGCTGGCACCTAACAACAACGACTAATATACCTATGTTGTTGTTGTTGTTGTT